AAAAATTATGTAAAATATCAAAAATGTAACAAAACTCTAGAATATCATATGCTATATTTTACAGTTTCGTAACGGGTTATTCTACGAACAGTCTGGGAGAAAAAAAAACTAACAGATTCTATAGTTAATTTCGAGAGTGCTAAACAATTTAAATATAGGTTTCTCCGGATCATGATAACAGAACATCATAAAGGAACGTCCAGACAAATAGTAGCTAAAATACAAGCGGCTAACTGCTGTTATTACAGTCCAGTAAAAATTATAATGAGATGGCGATCATTATATCGTGAGAATACATTATAATTTTATTATGATTTGTCTAAGTTGTACCGAGCGGAAACGTGGCCACAGAGAAAAATAGACGAAACAAAGTTCACTCTCAAAAAAAAAAAAAATTTCTTTCGCAAAATGTTCGCATAAATTAAGTATAGAAACAATGGAGATTGTAAAACGCAGAGCTAGACCAAGTCAATGGCGGGTAGTAGTGGGAAATGATTTTAAAAATGTATACATACATTTATAATGAATCCGCGAAGAGAATGTATTTATTATTATTAAATCTAGCTATAGAGATTAAATGAGAATAGAATCGCCCCCTCCCCTCCTGGATCCGATACCGAACCAACTAGTTTCAAGTACATATTAGACGCAATTTCTTCATATTACGAGTATTTGTATATATATATTATTGAGAATACTTATAAACTAAAATAACGCTGGGCCTCTACACGAGTTTTCTCAGTGAGGCCCGGTGATCTTTTTGATATTAATTTTAAAAAAATAATAAATAAAATAAAGAGGAGAATATTACAATGATTATAACTATAAAAGTAAAAAAATAAAGGACCTCTATACAGTAAGATCTAGAATGTGCAATTATTTTAATTGTAAATTTGTAATGGATCGAACCGGAAAAAAAATGTATGCATAGAGAAGAATCGGAGATGGAGGGATTGGGTGTGAGATAGGAAAATCCTCATAGAGGTCTATAGAAACCAGATAATAAATGGAAGAAACGGCATAAGCTAGGCAAACAAATGCGTATAATTTAATAGTTTCGGGAAAGTTAACCGTATAGTCTGTAGGTATAATGACAAATTCTTCGGGTTCCGAAGTTATTTTGACAATCGGAATTCGCGCGAGACGGCGAAATAGTCGTCGTTTTTGTCGTGCATGTGCGTGGGAGTTTTATTGATAAATTCACAAGAATCGAATAATAATATTGTGGCGGGGGAATATGTTCGAATTTTGTTTGCTGGGCTTTGCCGATGACGATTTTTCTTTCAAAAACGGTCGTGTTTTGGTATTCGCCCCGCCACCGCGTCGTCCGTCGGGTGTTTCGAGTACAATAATTACTATAGGGAACGTGGGAGGGGGAAAGCTTTTTTTCATTAACACTGTTATTCGAAACAATAATTTATACAAACACACACACACACACACACACACACACTCACATACACAACATATTATATTAAATATATACAGGGTGTCTCACACTGTATATATGTGTCCCAGCATACACGCTTATAAGTTACTTGTTTTCCGTATATGATATTTGGAAATAAAATTACTTGTACATGAACAAATATAAAAGTTTATAAAATATTTATGTAGGTACCTACATAAAAGGGGTTGTAGAATGTTTATGAAAATTGTTCGTAAAATCACAGACAGGTTGATACTGTTGATTGGTGTGAGAAAAGGGAAGTTAGAAGGGAAAGGATTTATAAAATAATTTAATTTATACCATCATGGCTAAGAAAAAACAATTCTGAAAAATGAGTTGTATTTTTCCCTTTGTTGTCAAAGTAACACATAAATCAACAAAAATTCTACAAAAGATTGATAGTGTTTTCTCATTTATTAAGTGAACTACACGGAAAATCAAAAAGTTACCTCCTCAGTTCAAAAATGATACACGAAAATTCTCAAAAAGTTTTTGATTGGAACCAGATTTTAAAAAAAAACCATAACAATAACAATAAATATATCGTGGTTGGACCAATATATTTCTTTCTTCGCTCAGAATTCGAAAAATAACTCGAACTGCGCAACGTCACATTTATTTCGCGAGTGTCGACAAAAATTAAGTCACTGTCATTTTCAAAATCCAATGAAAACCGTACGTTTATCGAAAAACGTTTTTTTGCGGTACCCATATGCGCCTATGTAGCCGTTATTGGCGACATCGACGAAAAAAACAACGTTGAACAGGGGTTCTATTATTTTCGGTCTGGCGCGCGACGTGAGACACCCTGTATGTACATAAAATATAAAGTATTATAAACAATATATTATTATCGTACGTATATATTACGCGTAGAATAATAATATTATAATATTATCGCCGTAAACTCGCGGTGGCGGAAGGGACGTTGATGGAGGGGTGTTTGGGCGGTCGGAGGACGTATTAATACGCGTAGTCGCGCGAGCGTTTTGCCGACACAATGAAAACGCGGCGTTAAATTAAAACGACGGGGCAATACCGACGAGCGATTTGACGGTCGGCGCCGGACACAATGGTGTAAACCGAGCGGACCGATAAACGAGGCGACTCGCCACTATCGCCTCACCACTTTCACCTCCCTCTCTCCCACCCCCTCCCCATCCACCGCCCCCGTAAAATAGCGGCACACAAGATAATGTCCGTGTTCCCGCACACGCGTTACCCTGCAACCGCCACTGTCAAAAAATCACCCCGCGCAATATACTCGATCGTTGAGGGTCGATTTACATAATACATTATTTTCGCGACCCCATCTCCAAATCAGTGGCGTATTTTTGATTTTGACGGAGAAGCATGTATTGAAATTGAAAATCGTGTCATATTGTACAGTTTTGACTAATAATAATTTAAACAATTTTATTATAAAAATGTGTAATTTATTTGATTATAAAATTTTAAATTCATAATTCTATTTATCCTAAAATCATCTCGATGTAATCAAACATCTGATAATATTATTATTGATTGATTTATTATTTGTACACAAATAATATAGTTATCTAACTTCCTTCAAATTATTTCAGTGATTCGTAAAGGCTCCGTTGTAAACAAGAAAATATGTTGTGTTAACTGTGTGGGTACAAACGCACTAATTTAATTACATGTATAGAAATTACGTTTTCAGACCGTTTTCATTTATCCTTATCATTTTTTTTTTTTTTATGATTACACCCTTTTTGGCTATACCCCTTTTTACCGTTCGGTTTTGCTGGAAAATGATATGAACAAAGTAAATACTACAATGATACGAAAATGTATTATACGTTCCATTTCATATAATGATACTAGCTATAAGTACACTCGGGAAGTGTACTGGTACACTTATCATGTATAGTAAAGACAAATAAGTGTATTCCAGAATTCAGATAGAAACGCCTTAATACGTAAAACGGTAAAAAAGTAAGATTGCATGGTTTTTTTAATTAATGAAAAAAAATACCAAAAATACGGATCTCCTTATTAAATTAATTGTTTTACGACTATAACGAGAAAAACGTGACGACGTGATTTTCCCCTTTAATGTTCAACAGAATTAATTTATATCTGTGATTATATCAATCAAAATATATTCTAATGTTAGTTTTCGTTTCTGGCAGGTGATTAAAACTGCAGCAGACTTCGTTTCGTTAAGATAAATAATAATCCTAATTATTACCAAACGAGATTTTACACTGACGAACTGAATAATTTAAAACATTAAATTTTACAAATGATCAAAACAATTTGTTTTAAAAACCGTTTATACAATGTATTGAATAAAAACACTAAAAACTTGTTACGGAGAGTGTAAAATAAAATATCAAGTTTTTTTTTTTTTTTGGCACTTGAGTACGAGTTTGTTTTTAACTACAAAAAAGTAAACTCATCATGTAAGTACTTTAACTAAATAAAAAACCGACACATATTTTCTACAAAACATATTATAGACAAGATATCAAAAAATTCAAATATGTTTCCAAAATTAAAATTCGGCGAGTGATAGTGGATGAATTTCACTAGCTTATTAGTCTGAAATTCAGACCAATAAAACGTCGTAAAAATGACTCCTTTCCTCTTAAATGGGTATCGGACAGATTAGATCGATGGAAAAGTCTAACCATTAAGGTGGTCATTAAAAAAAAAAGTACAATTTAAAAATAATACTAAATTAGAAGAAATATGAAAAACCGCTTCCGACCCTCTTAAAATATTTATTTTTTTTTCATTAAAATAATTATAAATATAATTTGTCGCTTGTCAAGTATTTTTTTCCTATAATATATGATACTGCACATTTTAACAAAAGGAATTATTTGTATTACGTACGCGACGTACTATAATAATAACGGCTCAAGTATGAAATTAAAATATAAACGACGAACCTATAATAAAACGCAATCAGAAATATAATATTTCGAAGCCATAAAAAATACGACTGACCGAGTTTTTTTAGCCGATTCCATTGCTGCGTGCATCAATACATGTGCGGTGCGTCATGAAAGATACTCGCGCTTAGGTATTATAAAGTATTACTGTTACACAGTCAGTATTGATTATATCAAAAAAACCCCACCAAAGTGGAAGAATTTATTCGTCAATTTATATTATAAAAAAAAGCGCTTTAAAACTTAAAAGTATTGGCTGTCAAAAGACCAATTTCACAGCGCCGAAGGTAATCGCGGAATGAAAATTCATGTATTCCAGCGATCGAGGTTGCGATCGGCCAACACTTTTCGCAGCTCATTTCGAATGTATGAATCGACAAAACTTGTTAACCGTATATCCCCATAGCGTTTTTACGGAGGGGGGGAGGCGAAATATAAAAGCGGAAATCGTCCCTCCCCCTAGACATGTATAAACTCCTGAACCGTAAACACACGCCATCGCGGTACCGGTCGGGCTCTGTAAAAACTATATAAGTACAGCAGAAGCAACGGGGGAAGACAGGAGGAGAATATTATTATTAATTTGAGTAGGTATCGTGAGTTGTCAGCGACCGTAAAAAATATTACGCTCCTCTGAAATTACCGCAGTCACGTAGGTAGATACCCGTAATATCGTACGTACCCTAGGGGATTATTGGAATTTAAACACGTCATCATATAAAACTTAGACAGTAGCTGATAACTTATAAATAATACAATAAATCAAAACCTTTTAAAATAAATAATTTATTAAGCACATTATGATTATAACATTATAGATACATATATGTTTTAAAAGTCGTACGATACTCGAATATTGTATATCCGCGGTGATTTCGTCGAACAAAATATTAATTGCACAATAACCGAAATTATACATTTGTGGTAACTAACGATATAATTCACATTTTTTTTTCTCTCTCATTATTCCCCGATAAAAGTGCCAACTATTAAATGCCGAAATTCGTAATACGTGTTGGGCGGTATTCGGTAATAATGGACACGTAATAATGGTCATATACCGAAATAAACAGAGGGAATTCAGGTAAAAAACAAAAATGACCGAATTGGTCATAGTTTTGTAATGACCATTATTCCCGGGGTTCATATTAGGTATACTACGATTGAAACGATTGTATTCCTGTAATGCCTCGGCCCAACACTAGCCCGTGAATGTCGTATGTTCCTTCGTACGTGTTGACGGTTTCTAAATTTATGAGATGTCTGATCACGTGGTACTCGTCGCTTATGCCGTTCCCGCCGAGTGTGTCCCTCGCCATCCTCGCGATTTCCAACGACTTACCGGTAGAGTTCCTTTTTATCAATGAAATCATTTCCGGCGTGCACAATCCTTGTTCCTTTAACCGGCCGACTTGCAGACACGCCAACAGGCCGATGGATATTTCGGTGACCATATCGGCGTACTTCGTTTGGATCAATTGAGTGGCGGCCAGCGGTTTTCCGAACTGTTTTCGGTCTAAGCAATACGATCTGGATACCGATAGGCAGGCTTCAGCGGCACCGAACGCTCCCCAAGCTATTCCGTAACGGGCGTGGTTCAAACAACCGAAAGGACCTGTAATACGAAAAGATGTAAATAAATCAATTAGATAATAATTATTGTTGTTTAGTTTCGAAAGAGAGGTTTTGATAAACATTTTCGACCCCGGTGTGCAACACTGAATTGTGATAACATTTGAAAAAAGGAAAATCAACAATTTGTGCAAGTTTTATGGATACCCAAATATTTATGAACCAACAAAAAAAAGGTCATCAATGCACGCGATGACGTGAAAAATAAAATGTTATTTATGCGAACAAGGTCGTGCAATATACCGATGTGAGCAGTTTTTAGCGTTGAACGTCGCTGAAAGGCGGGTGCATATCGTGATTTTAGGTATCTACGCAATTTGTCTAAGTCGCCATGCAAGTGAATAGTATAAGTTTAAAGAACGTAAAAAATGAAAAGCACAATACGCTACTGTAATAGCCGAAATACTCAGAGCTGGATAAGCGGATGCGCTCAAGGACTTACGATCTATTAGGATTATATTCCCATTTAATCAACACCTATTAAAATTAAAGGTCACAGGTAACTGAAACTATAAACTTAAACAAAAGAAAATACCTTTAGATCGTGTACGAGATGGAAAGGTAATATAGAAAAGGATATCTGGACGGTGAACGAAAATGCTTTAATTGAATTGGCATTTAGCAAGGAAATACGAAGAGGATTGCTTGCAGCAGGGATCGTTCAGCTAAGAAAAAAGAAAAAGAATTGTTTAACAAGAAAACAAAAAAAGTACTTAAACAAAACTATCTTACCTCCCATACCCACGACTCCGGGCAAAAGACTATTTTCGGGTACCTTACAATTATCCATGTACACCGATCCGGTGCTGGACGCTCTCAAAGACATTTTCCCCGGTATAACAGCAGTCGAAAGTCCGGGCGTACCCTTTTCCGCAACAAATCCTCTTACTTTTCCGTCGTCACATCTAGCCCAAATAATAAACACGTCGGCAACCGGAGCATTTGTTATCCACATTTTGGCGCCATTTAAAACGTAGGATTTCGTTTCGGAATCAAATTTGGCCCTGGATTCCATTTTACCAATGTCACTACCGGCGTTCGGTTCTGTTAGACAAAAACTTCCTACCAAATCGGCAGAGGCTAGACGTGGTAAATACCGCTCTTTCTGTTCGTCTGTCCCATACGCATTTATCGCGTGCATGACAAGGGATGACTGAACACTTAAAGCCGATCTAAAATTAAACGTCCGATAATTAATCATTTACGAGAACCCACGAAAAAACTATTTAACCTATAAGCACTATCGACTCTTTCCACTTCTCTGGCTATGAGACCGTATCCGACCTCGGATACTTTGGCACACCCGTACGCTCCAATAGTACAGCCTAGTGCACCCATGGAGGCCATATCTTTCAAAACTTCTTTTTCGTATACAGCATTTCGATTGGAGTTCAATATTCTGGGCATTAGAGCTTTTTGACAAAAATCTCTAAACGAAGTTTTCAACTGTCGTTCCTCAGATGTTAAATTATGATCGAGGTTCAATGCGTCTTCCCAATCGAAATTGGCCGTGCTTGATGACGTGAAACGAATGCAACGCTGTCGCAAAAAAATTTTCATTCCGATCGATGTTGGATTCTATAAAAAAAAAAATCTAATATAATGGACAGTCACATTTTTTTTTTTAAATCAAATACAATAAAATATAATTTACGAATCAATTAATGCATTTTTAATTTAATTTAACTAACGAAATTGATTAGAAAATTAATATCTCGTTAATAAAACGTTCTGAAGTGACAAGACAAAACTAATAATTTATACACTAATATTATTCAACATTCATATATTAAATATTATACATTATTACATCTGTCAACGCGTGAATATTATAAATTAGTTAAAACCATTTTTAGAAACAACAAGGACTTTGTTAAAATTATTTACCGTGTAAAACGATTTTTCCCAGAGAAAATGATGTATTTTATATTTGCAACCGAAATTGACATATTATTATACCCTATTCCTATATTGATTTATTACAATATTATGTTTAAATTATTAATATAAAATCTGTACAATAACATTACGGAATTAATACTACATTATGTAAATGTACATTATCAGACGTTTTAACTACCTATAGTTTAGTATGGTTTATTGATTTAAAAGGACGCTACATTGCAATATGTACTTTGTTGTCTCCGTCTCACAAATGCACGACAAGGCAATTTTTGCCTTCATCAAAAAGAACCATTTTTGTACACTTAGTACTAATATAAGCGTGGTTACATCTGTTATATCAAACTAAAAATTAAGAACATTCTGTGTTTGTGAGGCACGAGATACGAGTGTGTAAAATATTAACACTTAAAAATACCTATATCTCGTTTGAAAATTAAAATATCCAAAAAAATCCAACGCACAAATACGCGATGTCTATCCAATTCTTGTTTTCCTTTTTTCGAGATAATTCACTGTAATATTAAAACTAACAGCACGCAGTTTATTCTCAATTAACGATGATAATATTTGGACCGATTTATAACGAATATAATATAGGTGTCTGCGTATAATATTATGTAAAATCGAAATATTTTAAATTCGTTTATAATTATTAGTATAATATACGATGGGCACAGGGAGAAAAGGAAAATAGTCCTTATTTAGACCATAGGAAATAGTCCGTTTATCTTAATTTTGTTCAATTTTTGAACAATTTTCGCAAATGGACTAGTATCTACTCTTCTTCCTCTGTTCTTCCCCTTTCGTCTATGTACCCTTTAAATTATGCACATTCATTTCGCCGTGTAATATTATAAATTATACATTTAAAACAATCAAATATCTAGGGAAAAATATGAGACGACTAGTAAATTAAAAGGAAAAAAAAAACAAACAATTTAACTAAATGTAGGTAGATATATTGTGGATTATTATTTTTTAGTTTCTTAATTAAACATTATAATACAATAAAATATTACAACTTTTGCTTAATTTGAATAAATGATAAAATCCTCGTTTGAAATTTCGACTAAATAAGAAAAAAAATAACGAAACAAAACAAATCATTTTGGGTGTACGTATTTCCGAAACCAACGCGCGACAAGCGCAAAGCAAAAATGAAAACGTCAAAAGCAGTATTATATCTATTGCCAACAGCGTTTTACATATTTAAAATATGTGTCTCGAACACGCGAAAAACAAGCTTGCACGACTTGCTTTCTTCTATGCACAATAATACTTGTAATTTCGTTTACTGCAATTATAATGGGTTGACAATTTATTAGCGTTTTGTTTTTTTTTGTTTTTTTTTTTTTTTTTAACTGACATTTAGCGACGCTCCATTATCGATCGGAAATCCAAAAAAATATATTTGTATACCATAGAAATGAAATCGGAGGAGTAAAAGTAGGAGAAAACCCCAAGCGGAACTGAGTGCTCTTTCTTATTTAAAGGAAAATAATTCGTTCCCTATTTAGTTAACGTCTTTCTCCGCGGGAACTCTTTAACTTTTGTCACCGAAGCATTTTTAATGAAATATTGATATAGGTAACACAAAATAATTGTATTAAAAATAAATCCTTTTATATCAACTATAATAGGTATTATCTATATAATAGGTACGTTGCAATTTTTTTTTTACATTGGTAAACAATGTTATTAAGTAAAACAAACTTGAAAAGTCTTCCGAAAAAGTTATTTTTTTTTTAAACTAACTTTAAAATAAAAAAATTTTTACGGATTGTTAAAATCAATTTTCAAATTTGTTTATGTGATAACAGTGACTGCTAAGTCATTATTATCAATATACGTAATAACGTGGTCGACTGACGGTGTACCATAGAGTATTGTTTGTTGTGCATAGTTACACTATACAGTGTGTCTTTAACCCATAGACATATTAACTTAAATTAACATGTTTATACATTAACGTGTCATCATATAATACCTGATAACACTGTTTATACCCCAATAAGGCCGATATCGCATTAAATAAATACCGAAAATCGGCATAATCTACCCATTTTAAAATTGGCTAGTAAATTATTTTATGTTTCTGAGTTACCTACTATCAATTTATTTGAGTTAATTTCCAAGCCAACAAAATTAGACGCAAATTCCCTATTAATCAAGGCCGGTTTACTTTAGTTTTATCGAACAGGCATAATACGTGAAGGATAAAATTTGTTCGTTTTTTTATTTTTTATTTTTTTTTTTTTTTTGGGGGGGGGTTATATTCAAACCCTATTAGTTTATAATTTTTGTGAACAAATATGCGTGGAATTTTCGATCCTACGAGTTTCGAGAAAGTTTAATCGAGTAAAGTTAATGCTCAGGTATATGACTCTCAATTTTTAGTAAGTACCTATATAGTCCCTCCTTGAAGTTTTTCCGCTTTTCCTCTTTAACCACAGAATAAAATCCGCAATATAGTACCGATGTAAAATCATCATACCTATATAATACTACTATAAAATCATGTAAAATGTACACCACTACTGATACTAGAAAATAAAAACCAATAATACCGAAGTACTCGGACGAGTAGTAGGTACGTATGTATTCGACTACACGGGTAAAAAATATCAAAATCCATGTAATAAATAGATAAGGATTTACCATTTTCGTTGTAGTAGTTATGCTGAATACGAATTTAATTTCTACTTAGGTACGTCAGCACACTTACAACGGAAAATAATACGAATCTGGATAAAAATATGAAGTTTTTTTTTTTTTTTTATAAAAAAACCGTATACACACAATAAATTATACAGAGTGATCTCTAATTTTGGGGGAAACTTGAGATTTTTTTATGAATTCTATTTAGTACTTACACATAGCATAATTTATATTGAATTTATAGACATTTTCTGGTAGTTTTGAATACGTATATAGGTATACTGTGCATTGTACACTTTACTTATTTAGAATTTTTTTATTCTAGAAACCTGTCCAGAAATGATTTTTTTTATAAATTTATAATTCCTTTAATTCTTGCCCCCCTTCATTCTGGAAATGAATCCTGGTTGCACCACAGACTGTTATTATGACTCACACAAACGGTAAATCCGATATATTAGTGATGTTATGTCTTGTCTAATTCTCTATTCTGTGTTTGAAAGAGCCCCCTCTTTTAGGAACCTCCCTATTAAATGCGATTGCAGAATTATCGAAAAATAAAAATAAAATAAAATAAATCAAATTCATTTAAAATTCTCCGAAAAGATCGCCGGTTCGTAAATAGAACATTCTGTATACACGTACGATATTAAAATTTATTATCAAAATATTATTATCTGTAGGTAGGTACCTATATTATTATCATAATTAACAATGATGAGTACCATACACGAGATACCTTACACAGTTGTAACAATATTATGTAAATCAACAAATTATTAAAAAAAAAAAAAACTACGACCTATAAATAAAATGACCCATTTTTTTTTTTTTCAATTATGAAATCGAATGCAACATTATGTAAACAAACACGGGGCAATATTATACGAGTATAGCGGACGCATCAGAGTACATTGGTGTTGTAAAACATATAATTATTACTCAGGTAGGTAGGTACATAAATAAATTTGCGATTTATATTAAAATCGTTACAATGGATTGATCAGGTTTCTGGGTTGTTGTACAGGTAAATTATAGTTTTCACTCGTATTGTAATCTGTCGTACATCTGTCCGTATTTTAATTCACAACACCAGCAACCTACCTATTTTATAATATTGCGAATTGCCTGTTTAGGACGAGAGAATATTGATATAGAAATATTTCATTAAAAAACATAACCCGATAAACCTAATAAATAATTAAATATCTTTGAGTTTTCATCCGTATAGTTCTTTAACAGTTTGACGTTCGTATAGAACGTTATACGCGTTTGTATCGATTATGATAATTATCTAGAAAATACTTTATCAATGATTATGGCATATGTGTACCGTTTTTAAGTTTTTCAATATGCGATACATGATTAATAATAATACTGTAGATTTTTACCTGAATCATGATTGATTTGCGATAAGTTCACTGCAGTATAGACCAAACAATAGTGTTCGTATTATGTGTAAATAAATAATATGTTAAACGAAAATACTGAGCAGACAGCAGACGTCAAAACGAAGATCGAAAACAAAATATAATTTATCAGATAACAATATTATGTTTTTGTTATCACTTATCAATAAAAAATACGCCACAAACCGCGGTTGTAGATAATATTGCGCAACCAACAAGCAAAACACATGATCATGAACGTATATGCTGTGATATACACATGATATTATTTTATGGCACGTTTGACACAGTGTCGCCAACGTTCCGATCGTATTTGTCAAGTTTTACGACAAGTACGTAACGAATATTTTATTATTCACTGTTAAACGGAAACCATATCAGAGTTCGAACGGCTTAGCTAAGTTGAATTGACATTAATACATAATAACAACTTATTGTGTTTACGCAAATCTACGTCACGCCACTATTCACGATCAGATATCTTTTTTTATGTTTTATACTCGGTTGGCTTTCATAGTTCATCGTCAGTACTAGGTACTAAAAAATAACGCATACAGGTTTCAAAATACATAGTAGGTAGGTAGATAAGTACCTACCTACTATGTATTTTGATGTACGTCAGTGGCGTATTTAGTATTCTTCTGGGGAAGGAGATACTGAATTTGGAAATGGTGTCATATTGCATAACGTGTACACTACATTACTTCAACCAAAAAACTATAATTTTTTATTATACCTATATATTTTTAGAAGTAATTTATCAAATAACTAGGTATTAGTATTAAATTATTATTACCAAGTATATTTACTATTTAGGTACCTAATAACTTAACCTCCTTTATGTTATTGCGGTTCAGATACCTAAGTTTCGTTTTAAACGAAAGAATTTAATACACTCCCTATAAAATAATCCTAGATCAGCCCTTTGTTTCTATTATTATTTTTTTTATTATTATTTATGAATATTGAATTTGTAAGTTATTACCTATGTTAATGTCGAATGTTAAAACAAAACATCAAGTTCAACTAAGTCTTTAATACAGACATACGCGTATGCAGAACTTTGATACAAGCATAATTTGTCTTATAAATACTTAATTAAGGTTACGGTTAATTTTTAGCAATACTACAGTTAAAGTAAACAATTTTACATTTTATTAGAAAATGTATACCATATTACCTACAATAATTAATTCAAACTGTTTATAGTCATACCTAATATTAAATATTAATATTTTGTAGGTATTTATACTCTATTGAATTAGTATAAATACCAGAGTAATACAGTAAATATAAAAAAAAATTTTAAAAAATAGTTTTTTGTTAATCGATAATTATCCGAATCTTATCTATCACGATGTAACATTTTGGCGCAAATTCCTCAACAGGATTGAGTCACCAACATATATAATATAGAAACATATTGGACCGCGGTCTTACCAATGACATAACAGAATATAATATATTCTTTAACTAATTATTCACAGATATTTTACACAACCTAACATCTCGCTTCCAAATTACGATGTCGTTTAATTGCAAATAAAAATTATTATTATTATTATTTTACAATAGATTTTGTATTGAAAAAAACAATAAAATCTTTTTTATTTTTTTTTAGAGAGACTTAGGATACCGAGATTCAATTAATTATTTATACAGGATCTATTTCGAAAACTCTATATTATAGAGCTTTTTATAGAACTATATAGGTACATTAATGTGTTCAGGCAAAATATTTTATATCTATTTACTAGAAGGCACAATCTAAGTAAAATTTAATTAATTTGTTTACATAATTATATAAGTATATATTTTTCACAATATTTCTAATTCATAGTGTGTATGCAAGGTGATATACAATTTTTAAAAATCAATTTCAAAATAAAATATAATAATACAATTCATTTTCAGCAAAGTTAATCTAAAATGGTTGATAACCTTGAGTAATCGTAGGTTATCAAGGTCCAAGGTTAATTTAAATTAGGAAACAATTAAAATTGTTCACGAATGTTTTTTTTTTCCTCTTATTATTATAATTTATGTTTGATTATAATCTATTAAAGGTACCAACTACCATCTATTATACCACACATACCTATACAATTAAAATAATCCAATTATTCAACTATTTGACGTTTTCATTTTTTATAAGTAGATTCACTAATTATTACACGGAGTAGGAAAAATATTATATTATGAGACAGCCAGAAGACAAAATACATAAAGATGAATTGTCTCTTGTTAAAATTACGTAGGTATTTATAATTGAATTGAATTTATAAATTAATTATAAGTATTATAAAAGGAAAACGTTATGTTTTTATTAATTACTTTTTAAAAAATCGAATAAATTATTATTTTTTGACTTTAATTTTAAATATTATTTTTTTATTAATTTTTCTTTTAACACCACAATTTAATTTTAAAAATATAACAATACATTTTGTTAAACAAAACGATAATTAATGACTGTACAAATTTGACCATTGATTAATATACAATTATTTGTTAGATACTAATTTTAACTTCATCCAGATTCTAAAATGGTATATCATAGAACAATTTGAATATCTATTGTAGTGTGCTCCGCCGACCTGCATTACATCTTTAAAAATTATTTTATCAAGGTTGGGTTTATTGGCAGTATTTATAGATACTTTCCAATATTCAGATTTTTTTTTTTTTTTTTTATTCAAAAATATAATTCAAGAAGGTATTTTCAATTTTATTATAATATACTTATACGCAAAACGCAACGATCTAAAGATAAAAATAAAATTGTTGTCAAATTTGAATTGTTTTATTTAAATTTGCGTTCCTGTACATCAAGTAAGATAAAAAAAGTATTTAAAAATAACATTTGATTTGAAATACAGATACTTTCAAAAAGTAGTCAAATAGTGTTCTCACCACTTCGGCCACTTCTTCTCTCCCCACGAATGGATACCATTGGTATCGGTTTAGTAAAGTACTTAGGTCATTGAACTTTTATTTTTATTTTTGTTTGTTAGTATTTCGGGAGAGTTTAAGTGATATAAACACAAAATCGTATAAAAATGCACGACTTGTTATTGTATTATTATGAGCGGATACGGAGGAGACAGGTGCTTAAAAATAGACTGTGGCCTTTTTTCCTTTGCGCATTTATTTTTTTAAATCCATTCCTCCTCTTTTTTCCCATCCACAGGCCACTTTGATCACTGAAAATAAGTAATATAATTCAGCACATTATTATAGTTCATTATAACCTTCGAAAATCGAATATTATTAAATAACTCTTTGACCGTTGGAAAGTCGAATTCCGTAAAAAATAGGCAATGAATACGTTCGCTTGCAGACGACACACGTGTTGTAGCAAAATGTCAGTATTGATTTAATTACAGTTGATTAAAATTTAATAGAAAAACCATAAACCGACACAATACATAGGTATTGTGCATGATCAATGTACATATATTATATAAAGTCACTTTACTGCAAGTAAATATTAAATCCTTATTAGTATATTTGGTAGGTAGAGACGGGTATAGGTATGTGAGGAAACAGAATAAGCCAGAACAGAGATTTTAGAATTACCAGACTTTATAATATTATTATTATTATTATGTTAAATAAGTATAGTGTATACTGTTAATGACACCAAAGTGTATTGTAATGGCTATATATTATGGTATGGTGCTGATAGCTATTCGCAACACTATATCAAAAAGCAAATTGTTATTCCTTAGAAGTCTTTGATAATATACTTTTTTTATTTTTTTGCTCATTTTGCCCGTTTCAAATGCACGTTGTTTTATAGTTACGTATACCCTCTGGCAACCATCGCCTCCCATACCCCATCCGCCTTGCAACTCACTACTCGAATCGGCGGTTATTTGTTCTTTTCCTCTGCAGTATATACTGCGCAATAGCCCTTCAGGCGCTTTCATTTTTAGGATATTTTACCGAAATAACGTCCAGTGACGTTAGATATTTGTAATTTTTTTTAATAATCTCACTAATTTTTACTAACCTTTTATACGTAAATAGCCCATTATAACTTGAAATGCGTAAAAAAAATTATAATAATAAAAATATTTATTTACACATGGAATGTACATATTTATAAACGCGTTATCAAATTTTTCTAAAGAAATTCTTTCTGTTGACAATTTATTTCTATGCTCGCAGTTCTTCATTCTCATTAAATCCATCGCCATATAAATTGAGTATCTAAATTGATTTTTGTTAAGCAAACAGTTAATTCCGAGGATTCGTATAATATTGATTCTACAAAAAAAAAAAAAAAACACACTGATTTAATATTCTTACAAATACGAGTTTCCATCTCCCCCCCCCCACCCGTCAAATTGTTTCAAAAACTTTACGGCGATACAGTATTCTCAGGTCAAAATAATGATTTAAAGAGAATAATCATGATATCCTTACATTTGTCTGAACAAAAATGTTATTATAATATTTTCTATGAAACTACAAACGTATAATGACAATGAAGCGATTTCATAGAGAAATATATTTAGATTTTTTTTCTCCGAACAGTACTGTTATTATTACTTCCTCAAAGTGCACTAGTTGTTGCAGTTTTCTTTTGAGAGATCTTGTATGTGTGTTTTGTACTTGTATCTTGTGTGTTTATTCTCCGCAATTCGCATGGACATTACCAACCGAATACAATGCCGATATTAATAATCTTTTTTGTTTTTTTTTTCACCACATATTATGTATATTGTATTATTACTGCAGTATACGCATTATGTTAAAGTTAAAATGAAACACAAAAATAATTTAAGAAAAAGACGGACATACTTCGCATGATGTGTGCAACCACTGTTGTGGGCGAGAAGTTAAGTTAGGAAGATAGGATATAGAGGGGAAATTAATTTGTATCTATAATCAACGATAAGCCATTGCTTACTAAAAACGATTCTGAGCTGAGTTAGTTAATATTAATGTTTTATTAACAATATATATGTCATATATTAAGGTAAAATAAACAAATAGGCATTAAATTATTTTTTTTAATAATATTTGTTTAATATTATACCTACCGTTTTTCCCGGTTTTTCATATTTTCTGGGAAAACTCTTGAGAAAATCGAAAAATT